CCACTTGCCAGGCAACTTAGATAAACTTTATCTCTATTATAAGGACGGATGATTTCAGTCACAGCTGATTCTTGAAAGCATGTTCTCACCTTTATGTACTTTTGCTTTCATTGAACCGCAACAATTCTTTTCTTGTCCCGCTTCATCATTTTTCTCATTTCCTCTCCTTGGGCACGTTATTTTGTAAATAAATGCTTCTGAAAATTACGGACAATGACAATTTATTTTATAAGCTGAGGTCTTCTCTAAACTCATTAAAAAAATCTCAGAAAAAAGAGCCTTTCAATATTATCTATGTATATAATTGCATATCTCTTTAACAGCTTTTACTTCCTCCATAAGTTCCAGAGGAGCTTTGTCTCCTATATCAAGCACAGAACCTATTGCATGGTAGACATTCAACTTTTGTTGTTGTTGTTGTTGTCAAGTGCTGTCTAGTCCGTTCTGACCCACCAACCTTGCAGTTCAAATGGGTTTGCAGTCTGGCACATTAACCCACAGTACCATACCAGGTTTCAACTAGTATTTGATAAATGGCTAATTAAATGGATAATAGATTGTTATAAATTTTAGTAAATGTAAAATAGTTATGCACTCATGATAACAAGAAAATTGGTGATTTGAACCCATCCAGAGATTCATGGTGTGGCGCTGTAGGATAAACATTGGACCACAAGTTCGGTTTGAACCACAAAGTCCATGGTTTAAGCTCACCAGTTGCTCCTTGGGAACTCTATGCAGGGTCTTTATGAGTTAGCACCAACTCAATAGCACTTAACAGCAACAACAGAGGATTCCTGGGAGTAAGACCTGGTTATCTTTCTCTAAATATTATAGCCAACAAAACCATGTGGGACAGTTCTACGTTATCAAATGGAGTTGCTATGAGTTGGAATTGACATGACACTGCCTAATAACAACAATAATACCAACTTTTCTATGATCTTCCTCACATTCTAAAGTAATTTGTCAGAATTATGTAAATAAATAATACCAGTAATTATGGAGTCCTGGTGTGGCACTGTAGAATAAGCCCTGGACTGCAATTTTGGTTTTAACCACAAAGTTGGCAGTTCAAACACACTGTCGCTCCTCAGAAACCCTACAGAGGGAGTCGCTATGAGTCAGAACTGACTAAATGGCTTTTAACAACAAAAGTCATTTATACTATTTAAACATATATATTTATAAAATACATAACCCTCCTATGAAAAATTCTCTAAAAGAAAAGTTCATCACTTGTACTAGAACTTGAACTGGAACAATGGCATTGTAAATAGGAAAACTTGAGGCTAAATGTGACAAACTTGGAGCTACAATATGACAGATACTGCAGAAGACCTAAATAAGAATCTGAATATATAATGTTCACTGATCAAAAGACTAAATTTCATATCAGTTCTTCTTTAATTGATCTATAGAATCAATGCAGTCCCAATAAAATCTCAACAAGATTATTTTGTCAGCATTATCAAATTTTGTATGGAAATGCAAAGGATTGAAAATAACAAAATAATTTTGAAAAAGATGAAAGTTGGAGAACTTACATTTTCTTATATTAATAGTTATTTTAAGGTTGCAGTAATTAAGGCTTCATGGTATTGGTTTATAGAAAAACAGATAGCTCAGTTGAATAAGATGAAGTAAACAAAAAATTGGTCATATATATATAGTGAATTTCAACCAAGATTCAAAGACAATTAAAAGCAGAAACCCTGCAGTTTTCAACAGCTGGTGCTAGAAATTTTTGATCTATGTATAAAACAATGAAATTTGATTTTAAGAGAATAAACTCAGAGACCAAATATAGAACTTGAAACTGTAAAACTTCTATAAGAAAACATAGAAGATATCTTTTTTTTTTTTTTATTAAATGTTTTTATTTTGGATTGAGTGAAAGTTTACAGGGCACATCATCAGCTTCACATTCAACCATTCATATAGCTTGTTTCATTACATTGATTATTCCCCCCGCCATATGTCATCAGTTTACAGTGTTTCTCTCTATCCTCTTTAGCTTTTTTTTTTGGATGGGGGTGGACTTGGCTTTTTGGAATTTACAGTTTCGGCTTTTAGGGAAGGTTTTTACATTTGTCTGTGGATATCCAGGGCTCATGTATGAGATTACTAACAAGCATTACTGAATAATCAGATGAGGGACAGTTTGCTATGTCTACTAGGTGTCTAGAGTCTGATCCTCAGAGCCTATGGTTTGGACGGTCAACAACGCTTGGGCCCACAGGGGCTTGGCCTCCTAACGGGGTCTGTACTGTCTGCATCTGAGTCCTCCTTATTTATTGATTGTTTAAGGGAAGAAGATATCTTTGTGACCTAAATTAGACAAGGATTTCTTAGACTTGACACCAACATCATGGTTTATAGGAAACAGAATTGTAGAACTTGATTCATCAAAATGAAAAATGTATGCTATTTGTAAAAAAAATGAAGACTTTGTAAACAATTTATGTGACAAACGACTTGTATCCAGAATATACAAAGAACTCTCAAAACTCACAGTCCATTTAAAAGACAAACACACACATACATAAAGGAAACAAAGAAAACTGACAACCCAATAAAATAAGAGCAAAATATTTGGACAGATTTCACCAAAGACATACAGATAGCAAATAAACACATGATAAATGTTCAACATTATATTAAGAAAAGGCATATTTAAACCACAATGTGATACCACTAACACCTTATTAGGAGCCAACCATTTAAAACAATAACAAAGAGCCCCGTTGGCATAGAAGGTTACATTTTGGGCTGCTAAGTGCAAAGTCAGCAGTTCAAACCCACCAGCTACTCTGAGAAAGATGATGCTGTCTGCTCCTTAAGAATTTACATTCTTGGAAACCTTAAAGGGCAATTCTATGAGGGTTTCTATGGGGTTTCTATGAGGGTTATCAACTTGATGACAGTGGGTTTTGAGATTTAATAAATCACAAATTTGGGGCACGATATAGAGCAAGTGAAACCCATATACTTCTGTGAGAATGGAAAATGGTAAAACTATTTTGGAAATAGTTCAGTAGCATATGAAAAAATTAAACATATACATTCCATGTGACCCACCTATTCCACTCCTAAGTATTGACCCAAAGGTAATGAAAGCATATGTCCATATAAAGACATACCCACAATTTTATTTATAATAGTCCAAACCTGGAAACAAATGCCCATCAATAGGTGAACGGGAAAACATTTTGTGGCACACAATGAAATATTAAACAACAATAAAAATGAAGAAATGATTGACATAATTAACAACATGGATGATTCTCAAAATAATTTTACTTACTGAGTGAAAGAAGTCAGATTAAAAAATATGATTGTTGTTGTTGTCAGGTGCCACTGAGTCAGAACCAACTCATAGCGACCCCATGCACAGCAGAAGGAAACAATGTCCGATCCTGGGCCAACCTCACTACCACTGCCACACTTGACGCCATCAATGATGTCACCTGGCTGATCCATCTTGTTGGGGCTCTTCCTCTTTTTCTCTGACCCTCCATCTTACCACCAGTATTTTAAATAACCAGCAGGGTCACCCATGGTGGACAGGTTTCAGATGAGCTTCAAGACAAAGACAGACTAGGAAGAAAGAGTGATGAACTACTTCCGAATTGCTAGTCACTGAAAACCCTATGAATAGCAGAAAAAATATGATTACACATAAATAATTACAGAAACAAATCTATATTGACATACAGAAGATCAGTGACTGCTTACATTGCTGTTCTTAATGGTAAAAGAAGAGATTGATAGCAAAAGGAATATGAAGAAACTTATGCTTTAAAACTTTTTACTATGACTTGAGTGAAGATTTATGGAAAAGATTATCAGTTTTATATTCAACAAATCATACACTTTGTTTCATTTCAAAGATTGCAATCCCCTTCATGTAACAACAGTTTTCCGGCTTCCTCCCTGTGGTTTCTATTTGCATTCCACCCTCCTTTCCATCCCTTCTCAACTTTGTCCTTAGAAAAATGTTGCCCTAGTGATTTTGAGTGACTGGCCTTTCCATGGTAAGCACATCTTACTAGTGCTGTTGTCTCCTCTCTATACCTGTATACTGCTTGGCTGAAATTTGGACAATAAGCTCCATACTCTCAGGTTCCTCCAGTCTCCTTCTGAGCATCAAACCTGGTCTTTTTTCAGTTCTTAAAAATAAATATGCATTTTGTTCTTCATTTTCTGCTCTTTCATCTGGGACCTCTAATGTGATTCCGTTCAGAGCAGATGGTAATGCTAGCCAGGCACCATCTAGTTTTCCTGGTCTCAGAGTCATGGTGACTGATGTTCACATGTTCTGTTAGTTCACAGAATTAATTGATTCCAATCCTCTTCAATTTTCATCACTTTTCTTTCTTCCACCCACGGAGAGACCTATAGCCTACCATATGCATTCTTAAGATCCCAGATGCTACTCTCCCAAGTAGGATGTAGCCCATTGTCTTCGTGGACTGTTATGCCAATTGACCATAAACTGATTGCAGATTTGCCTAAAGCATTCTTTCACTTTATTTCTTGATTGCTGCATTCATAGGAAGTTGACTGATCCAAGATGAATGAAAAAAAAACTGACAACAACATTTTTCATTTACCATGATGTTTATTGGTCCAATTTGAGGCTTCTAAAAATGAATATCTGATTAGCTTAAAAAACGCATCTAGATTGTTCCTCTCAGATTATTTTGGGTGCAACACAATAGAAATGTCTGGGGTTTTAGGACATTTCCTAATAGTAATAAACTACAGTTTAATTTGTATTAGGCAGAGAGGAATTTAGAGAATCTCTGGATTTAGGAAGTGACAAGTGGTGGGTAGAGATGAAGGAAACCAAGAATGAAGCAAGAAATACACTCCTTAAAACTGCACCTACTGATTCTCACCCGCAACTCTATAGATTGTCTAGTTAGCAGGATTCATGTGGATTCAAGTGTTTGACAGGCCCTAAATCAGGGAAATTTCTCCTCCCTGAGTTAAAGTCGGCCAGCTGGAAACTCCTGGTTGGGCACGTTAAATTCAAGCAGAGACTGACCCTGTCCCCTACACCCCCCATTGCTCCTCCTTTGCGTTGCTGGAGTCCTGTTCTCCGTCGCCCCCTTGTGGCCAGCGCTCCAGGACCCGCAGGCTCACGGGCGAGGCGGGAGGAAAGGTGATAAATGTAAAGGTCGCCGCAATATGAGGACGCCCAGGGTACCTTTGAAAGCGTTTGCCGTTTCAGCCTCCTGGCACCAAGCCCACTGCTTTTGAATCCAGCTTCTCAAACGCGGCACGCACTTGGGGTTCCTATCTGCTTCCGTCCGTCCAGTTTCCGGTTTTGCCGGGTGGCAATTGGGACGAGGGAGTCTCGGTATCCAGTTTTGACCCCTGGTTTCTGTGCACGCCTTTCAGGAATTTAGAAGCGAACGGTGCATAAGAACAAGAACCGTTGCTGACCCTATGCTCTGGAGAGCCCCTGAAATCCCAAATTGGTCTTTTTTTTTTTTTTTTTCCACCTTAGACTCCACCTCTGTTTTTTCCCAGATATTAACTTGCCACGTTACCACCGCATAGTGAAGATTGGGTACTCTCGCTTGTCCCACTGACGCCAGCCCTCAAGTGGCCCACACTGAGCAGTCTAGAAACTGGGACTGGGAAGGAACTCTCATGGGCTCCGAGGGAGAGGGGATGTGAGGCACTGTGCAGGTGGGAGACATGGATTTATGGGGAGTTAAAGCCTGACAGCGGCGCTCCCACCTCTGGATTCCCACCGGGACGAAGAAACTGCGTGACATCACGAGAACCGAGTCGCGGCCCAAAGGGCGGGGATGGGTGTACGGAGGCGGGGACAAAACCCAAACCACACAGAAAGCCTTCGAGGGCTTGCTTTCCAGGCCAGTAAGGGTGGGGTCTGACACTACCTACCCCGCCGGGCAAGGTGGGTCTGAGGAACTTGACGCCTGGAACCTGGAGGGGTGTGCCAAGTATTCCCCGCCTGGGCTGCTGCCTGCTAGGAGGGGGTGGGGACTCCGGGAGCCCCGTGCGCCACTTTCCCGGCAGCTTCTTCCTCACCCGGGACTGGCTTGCGGTTCCCTCGAGAATCTGCGCAGACGTCCGCCTCCTTCCCTCCCTCCTCTTCCCGCACGCTGCCTTCGCCTTCTTTCTCTGCCTCCACCCTCACCTCCATTCCCGTCTGTCCGGAGCTAAGCTCGGATCCCTCAGTCTGCCAGAGCTCCGGATGTGGGCGCCGGACAAGTTCACGGCGCCACCAAACAAAATGGACAGTCGTTATACCAGCACTGCGGGCATCGGGGACTTGAACCAGCTAAGCGCAGCTATCCCGGCCACGCGGGTGGAGCTGTCCGTGTCCTGCAGGTGAGGACGCAGCCCTTCCCCTCTCTCCTCCGACCCTCTTATCCGTAGTGGGAGTAGCGTCTGACGAGCGCTGGGGGTACCCGGAGAGTTTGCGAGGGGGAGAAGTTGCGTGTTGAATGAAAAGCACCCTGTTGGGGGCCTGGATTCATCCCTGGCTTGAGTGCCGTGGAGAGGGAGAGCAGGCACTAGAAGCGAGGGGTGGGCTCCGGGACTTTGTCTTTTCTTTTTGAAAAATGTTGTAAAAGTTGGCTGGGCTGTGAGTCAGCTTCGGGAACTCGGCCGCCGCCCAGTTGACAGAATCTTTTTGTGTCCCAAACCCGAGCTGGGTGGTTGGATGTTGACGGGAATCGAAGGGGATAGTATTGCCAAAAACGCTGTGAGCACTGCACGCCATGCTCTGGGACTCCCTCTGCTAGGTCTGTACTGACAAGCTACTTCCACGGTCGGCTTGAATCTCGGCTGCTTGCTCCCCACCCACTTCCTGGAGCCTTCCAGCTGCTTTCTTTTGGCTTTTTGCTCGGGTCTTAGGGATTTTGGCTTTACTCCTTGCAGACTTCTCTTTGCGTTACGTTACCTAAGATCTGAGAAGTCATGACTTTCTGTCTGCGGGTAAACGTTTTTGAGTTTGTACTCCTGTAGACAAGGATTGTAAATTTCAAATTCTTTCCCGACGTTATTTGGGTCAGTTTCTGTATAAACACTATGTCGTGCAAATGTTGAGAGCAAAGGGGACAAAGTGTGGGGATAAAGGAAACAGAAAGAGGGGCAGAATTTACGAAGTATCGGAGTCATCCTCTCAGGGAGCCCACCTATGGCTTGAATACTTTGATATCTCTTAGTGGAAAAATACTCTCGCTTATATAAATCAGCCCCAAGATGTTTTTATACCTTCAAATATTTCCTTTTCTTAGCAAAACCTGCCCCAAAGAAATCATTTAAACACGGGTAATTGTCAATAAGTACTGAAGCTTTAAATGCCACCAGCCCAGGGGTACTTGATTATGCATTTGCACAGGACTAAGCCTAAAGCGAAAGGAATGAATTTCATTTTGTGGAAATTCTTCAAGCACTGGAAACCCCAGTGGAGGTTATTTGGCCAAGGGGGTGGTGGGAGGCAATGAAGAGACAGCCTTTAGCTATTCCTGAAACTACATCACAAGTGCACTTGATTCCTCTTAAGGTTGACCTGAGACAGGGAAATGATAATGCTGATTATAATAGCTGACATTCTGCTCTCTTGCCTTATTGTAGGCACTGCTTTAAGTGCTGCCTGAGATCTGTCAATTGAATAGGTAAAGCTGTATATTAACGAAACAACCCAAAACTCTTTAGATATGAATCTCAAGATGCGTTTTCTCTTGTATTAAACTAACTTTGGTTGCTTTGTTATTGTTAAGTGCTATCCAGTCGGTTCCGACTCATAGCGACCCTTTACAGGGTTTCCAAGGAGCTACTGTTGGGACTGAACCACCAACTTTGTTCAAACAGACCTTACACAACCCAGTGTGTATAACTTTGGATGCTGGAGGGAGGTTATTGATAAATATAAACAATACATAGCAAATGTCATACAAACAGCATTTTCTAGAGTTTTAATTGAGTATCTGCTGAGCATCCTGCAAAGTTTGAATGGCATGTGGTCTGTATCTAGAATATAAAAGAAATCTGAAGTTCCTTTTAGCTTTTTTAGGGATAATGAAGAATTTATCCTTTACCTGGTCTTCCCACCAATAGGGCCCACTTGTTTGCTGTGGATGTGGTAGGATCATTAAGTTAACTGGCTTACTACCTAAGAATCTAGAGAGCTCTTGGTTTCCCCCTTTTTTTTCCCATACTGTTGTTTGGTGTCTTCTTTGGAATTTTCAAGCTTTCAAATAGTCTTCTTGAAGGAGAATCCAAGTGCTTCTAGGATCCAATATCTCTGCTGGGGCATTAAGAATTTGGTCTGTTGTTTCATTCAGAGTTTACGATTTATTCCATGGTATATTTGGTGAAAAAGTATAATTTGTGCATACAAATTATATATGAGTTAGTGTCTTTGGAATAGGTTCAGCAGTTCTTGAAAAGGTGGGTTAATTTTAATTTTATCTGGTTGCAAATTGAATCTTGTAACCAAAGGAGATAGTATAGTTTGGGCTTTGGCATCAGATATTTAAGCACACAACCTAGCTTTGTGACCTGGGGCAGGTTCTTGGTTAATCTTTCTCCTATATAGGGTTGAAGATATGAGTTATAACAGATTCTATGGCATTTACCAACAACATAATTTTTCATTCAGCATTCCTAAAGAACATACGTCCTAAGATGTTTGTGGGAATTTTTCTTAATGACAATGCACAATTGTAGACCTTCAACCTTACTATGGACACAGGCAGATCAAGGAATTCCTTTGCTATACTATATCACGGGAGCACAGCGGTGGCTTCATACAATAAGCACTGGACTGCAAACCACAAGGTCAGCGATTTGAGCACAGCAGCCCCTCTGTGGGAGAAAGACAGCTTTCCTACTCTAGCAAAGATGTGAAGTCTTGAAAACATGGTTGTTGAGTTGACATCATTTAATGACAACAACAACAACAACAACAACAACAACAACTATCTCAGAGAACTCTAATGATTTGTGGACATTTAAAAGCACCTCAAAAGAGGTATAATCCCTTTTTGCAAGCCTTTTACTGTCTTCAGTCAGAGACTTTGTGTATGTGTGTGTTAAGTTTTACAATATTTTTAGAAAAACTTCAGTCTAAATGAGATGAGAAGAATCCAAAACTGAAGCTTGATATTACATAGAATTCATGGAAATCATTTAATCTATTTATTCAGCAAGTGTTTAGAACATCTTTTATATGTATAACATTATGCTATGCTCCATGAGAAATGCAAGAGACTTCTTTTCTCTGAAAATGTGAAGTTGAGTTGGAAGATAACTATTACATATACATGGAAAGGACAAATTAAATGCAGAGGGGAGGGAAGAGATCATTGTGGAATAGAGAGCTCTGGGAATGTACTACAAAGAGGAGATGAGGCTTTAGAGGAACAAGGTTTAGATTAGAGAAGGAACATTATAATTGGAGATTTCACAAGTGAATACCAGTGTTATGGATTGAATGAGTTATAAATTCTAACCTCCATGTCTGCAGTTATAATCTTATTTGGGGATTGGCTGTGTTGTTTTTGTTAAGTGCTATCCAGTCGTTTCTGACTCATAGAGGGTTTCCCTGGAAGTGCCCGTGAGTTTGAACCACTGACCTTGTGATTCAAAATGAACTTGTGGTCCAGTGAATTATTCCTTAGCACCATGCAAAGACTCCATTGCTTATGTTAATGAAGCAGATTAGTGTAATGTGTATCTTGAGTCAATATCTTTTGAGGTAGAAAAGAGATTAAACAAGGAAACATAAGAGGAATGGATAATAAGATAGGTGCTATGGAAATCTACAAGGAGGTAGGGAGCAGAAATTCAAAAGAGATAAGGTTGTTGGTCCAACTCTACCAGCTCTTCATTCCGTGGGAGAACGACTAGGCAGTCTGCAGCTGTAAAGATTTATAGCCTTGGAAAACCAGTGGGGGCATTTCTACTCTGTTCTATCTGTTGGGTTCTTTTTTATGGTCAGAATTGGCTTGATGGCAATAATAAATAAAAAAAAAAAAAAAATCATATATATATATAATTAATTATTTTTTTTTAATAATACATGAGTCTGGTGTAGTGCTGCAGGATAATGACACTGGACTGCAAGGTCAGTTTGACCCACAAGGTCAGCAGTTCAAACCTACCAGCTGTTCCTCGGAAACCC